GAAAGTGGAGATGGATTAGATTGAACATACACTGAGAAAGCCGATCGGGGACATCACACACCATGTCAGGCCGTCGAATGGGATGCAAAGGGGAAATGATGAGTTGAGCGTCCGAGGTAAGGGTGAGATGGAGGAGATCATGTGATGAAGAAATGAAAGCTTATGGGGAGTGGTGTAGCTAGGTTGGAATGACTTCATAGAAGAGAGTGGAATGGAGGCGTGCTACTGAAGCCCTATATTCCACTATGAACTCAAGTGAAAAATAATAATGATGATAATGTTTCGTCCTGTTTGGGATTCGTTAGCTGGATGCACTTGAACTCAGTGAGTGATGGTCTGTCATCTGAGGCTCGGAACCCGTATTCTCCATCTCAGATGTCACAGCCTTAGTCACCAGGCCAATGAGGTACGAGGGTCACCTTTCACTAGGGTCCAGTTTCATCCAGGTGATGGATACCAAACAGGATAAAATATGCGTCTAGGATTCTATAGCTATCCACCACCAACCAACTTTAGTTTCCTACGGTATTATTAATATTTCCGCCAATGTGTATCTTCCTCTAAAAGTGAATACGACTCTGGAAGTTTGAATATTTCCTTAGTAATTTAACGAGAAGTTTAATTGCAGAGCCAGGTAGATAGAAAGATAGACATAACAACAAAAAAACTTTCATAATAATAAAAAATCGGTTCAAATTGGCAAACTTTGTTAAAGTAGAGAACGAGAAGATCAAACGAATATCCAGTATAGTCAAGAAAGACGCCAGAAATAGGTAGAAGTGAACATAACAATGGAATAAAAAAACTGTCAAGGGTAGGGTAGCCATAATTCCCACCATCTTGATCGGTGTTCTGTCATACAACAAGACATATCCATTAATTTCTAACACTTTTACATGATTCTATCATTCCCTTACATGATTTTGGATTACAGAATGAAAAGCGTAGATGTACGATAGATAACGTAATATTGACATTAGTGTAATTTCAAGAAATAAATAATGAATTAGTCCCTACAACTCACATGAGTTGGATTTTAAACTAATCCATCCAAACTCCAGCTAGTTGTAAAGTAATGAAGAGAGATATCCAATAATGATGCCGAATATGGTAGACATATATTGGGAATCGACTGGAAAACAGAGTTACCAACTCTTTGACAATGGAATATTGTCTCTCTGCAGCAACATGCATTAGTGGTACATAGCATCAAGTCCTCATGTGTATTTTGGAATATTGTCCAGCTTCGCTATAGTTGTATCCTTGATAACTATGTCGTCTCCAGATATATAATCCCTCTTAGTAGTTCCTTCAGAGTAGCTTACAAAATGCCTTCATAAAATTCCAAAGACCTTCCACTGTATCATCTATGTGTAGCCTAGTCATTGACAATTCACAATTTTAAACCATGTTTTTGTGTTCAAAAGCACATTCATCAACCTTTCCATTCCTAACATAGTAAGTTTCCTCCGTCTTCGGAACTCTTCTACTTTACTCTTGAACATTCCGGTAACCACATGTCCCGACTGTTTGACAACAGATTTTATATAACTTGGAGCTCTGAACGTCAGTTTCGTCCTAGTATGGAATTCCTCAGCTGTGCCCACCCCCAAACCCACGTCACCAGGGATTGAACTCAGGAACTTCAGGTTCCATGATCAGCACATTACTATTCAGCCACTCAATCAGGATCCAAAAGTTCATATTTCTCTACTTCTGTCAGTTCGTGATATAGTTCGACCTCCATCCAATGCCATCTTTATGTGTTTGCTCTCACGTTCGACTTGATGTGCCCCACCAACTTAAAATCAATAAATAAATCCCTCAAAAACATCCAAATTGAATTTTACATACGATTGTATGGCTTTAGTAAATGAATTCATCAAAAAATAAGTTTTCTTTATTGATACTTTTTGTTTTCTTAGGGTTCATTGAATAGTTTCTCACATGCATGTTTGATCTTATGGTTTATTCTGGTTGAGATAACAACATATCGAGGTGAAACACAGTGTGATTGACATTTAGGAAATGTTTCGAAATGGTAGTTAGAATTTTATCCTAGATCACCATCACTTTATGAACTAGTAAGGAATGGACATAATGATCTTAGCATTTCTCATCATAAGACTCAGTAGTACTTACACTTATGATCATACTGAAGAACGAGTTTAGGACCGTGAAAACGCTTAAAAAGAAGGTTAGATTTTGATTTGCAAATCTTTATTCCGCTCTATGACCATACTAAGCTGTTAATAAGTTGCGTTACAGTGCAATTCATCAAGCGTTGTGAAACACCCATTTGGAAAGCTGGTATACTTTACGAGAGAAGAATGACAGCGACAGTGTCATAGCAGAGAGATGAAACTTGTTCCTCAGTAGCCAACTGAATAATACTCTGACTCTCGAAGTTATTTGGGCTGGGTTCGAGCCTCAATGAGAACATCATCACTCACTCGTATACAGACACATCCAGCTGATGAGTCCCGAATGGGACAAAATACATGTTCTATAGGTAAACTGCAACTTTACACTCTGATAGATTTGTGGTGAATAATAATCCTTTTTCGTCAGCGAACAGTTAAACAAAAATAAATCATCCAAGATCAGAACTATAATTTTTGTATAATCATTAAGAGTTACTTATGAGGTTCTGGAACCGTTCAAATTCCAGACTAGTGAAGTTATGATTTTCTGTCTTTAGGATAAATAGTTTTAATCACATCTTATCATTAGTTAGGGGTGTATAAACAAAACCTTAACAGTGATCAAGTTTATCTTCTGTACAACAGGAAAATACCAGCCTTATTTATGACTCAGAAGAAAAGCTAGGGGAAGAGAATTACTGAGACGTTATGAAGCCTATAAGAGTTGAAGAAAAGCATGGAGAATCCAATAACACTATCATTTTTCTTTTGGAAAAATAGCCATCTAAAGAACTACTTTACAAAATGTTAATTAGATGAACAGTTAGCCGGGATTGGTGTTGATATTATTGACCAGGGAAACATAGCTAGTTTCAACTCCTCTCATTGATTTTCTTCAGTCAACAAATACAGTTCACAGCCTCGTCAAGTCAAATTAATCGATGTAATCTAGCTAGCAATGGAAGACTAAACACCGTGGTTTTGATTATGCTGCTGTGATTGATCGTTGTATGAACAATATCCCTTAATCATATGTGATGTGCTTAATACATGGATTTCTTTCAACAATTTCGAGAAAACATCATAATTACAAATAGACCATTGGAAATCTGGCTCTTCATACTAAGTTGTCTAGATGAATACTGTGTGATATTCAGTATCAATCACATTTAAGCTAACATGTAGCTTTCCTCTTAATCAGCTTTTAGTTTTCCCTAGCTTTATATTCTGTCTTTACGACAGATTCTTAACAATAAATGAAGAAACTATCTGAGTACATCAGTGGATGAAAACCAATCCCTTTTAGTTTATTGCCTACTGTAGTTGATTGATTTGCTATACACAATATCTTCACCAATGTGTTTGGACAGTGCTATCCAGAATAAGCTAAAGGATTTTATTCATTGGAGAGCGTATTCAGATATGAAACAAACAGTAAATATTGATCTTATACTTTGGTTCGGACTATAGATGCATAGTCTGTTCGCCAGCTAGTGAAGGTAAGAGGTATATGTGTGTCAGGGAACTTATCATTGATGTTTGCAAAATATTTTGTTTCTTTTTAGAGGTAGAATTACAAAAAACTTAATGGAAAAATCCATTTCATGCTTTGTAAAAGTAATTCCATTTTAGTCTGTTTATTAGAAATATCACACAGTGAAACAGTAGCATTAATCCAGTAAATGCTACTTTTTCACTGTGTGATATTCCTAATAAACAGACTAAAATGGAATTACACTCGACCACAGTGCCCAAGTTTTACACTTATACTTTGTAAAAGTAGCCTAATTTTAATGCTTCATGGTAACTGGAATCTAGTTTTCATGCCTATCATCTCTCGTCAGCAGAGTGCATCTGCAATCTCGTGGGAACTGATGTCTTCTGAGATATTCGAACCCGTGTCAACCAGTAATGCAGTCAGGGACGTCATCATTTAGCTATACAAACCACGAATGCTTCAGTAAACTTTTTATAAATATATTTAATGCCAGATTTGCATACATTAGCTTCAGAATTGGAAACATGGGGGAATGTGAATTGAAATAATGGATCTACGGGTTAGTTAATTTCTATTAACTAGTCAGCTCCTTTCTTTTTTATTCCCCTGAAGGAGCTAGGGTCAAACTTCTGTGCAAAACGTTGGCATTATTTCATTTCAAGCATGCTATAACTTACACAAATACTATGTCTAATATTCAGCTTAAAGATGATCGTAAAGCCTGAATTGAACTTACCTCATGACGACTGCTTTATTTATGTGAGTGCTGAGCTCTTTAGTAAGACCATTTAATACAATAAGATGAAATAAGAATGAAAGTGTGTAACTTAGCTGAGCCCATCTTACATGCCTCTATTTTTATAAATACAGTGACAACACATTTCAGTATCTTGCATACTAACCCATTTGTTAACGATGTTCATAAATTATGAGAGTCAAACACAATAAATAAATCTTCAGAATAATAAACAAACAATAAAATGAAGATATAGTTTATTTGTTGCTAATCATGACTCAAAGTAGTAAAATTATTTCCAAATAAAAGTAAGTGCACATCGAATTCTATCACCAAATGTGCAAATAAATTTGTCCTCGTGTCTGACTCGCTGCTTTCATTATTATGACCTTGATCTTCAAATTAATTGTCCAGTACAAGTGAAGGGTTGAAAAACCAAGTTCCTACTACAATCTAATTGGTCAAATAATTATCGCTGCCCTAGATATCAGCCTTGTTTGAAGCGCAATATGACCTTCACCTGGAGATTAACCAATCAGAATTTTAAGAAATTAGGACCATTCAAATGGCTGAGAAGATTGGGGCACACGGATTAAATTTCTAGTTGGTCGCGGATGTAGTTATCTGCGATGCTAAAGCAGTAAATTAATTGTCCCAGAAGAGCACTACACAAGGAATTTATGTTCTCAATTGCATCACTCATGCTACTGAATTCATGTGGTGCCACAGTCAAATTCCATCAAACTCCAACATCCTAACATTCAGAACTTGGAATTTCTTATCCCCACGTGTCATCACCACATTAGTTTTTATCTTTTTACTTCAAATTTCTGGACCCGTATATGGTGGACATATATGTAGACCACCAGATAGTCCTAATCTACCGGAACGTAAATACAAACTCCAGGAGCTTCATTCAGCTTTCGAACATGTTTCCTCAAAATCGAAACTAATCAATGAAAAACGTCTTAAACAGTCACGTCTACAACCGAAAGGACTTAATGCTCGACGTGTTTCAAATGTATATTTGGGAGTACAACTTGGACCGCTCGGCAAGATAATTTCGCTCAGGTCCTTCCTGCAATTGACTTGGCTCTGGAGGATATACAAACCATGCCAGCTTTTGAAGGTGTCAGCTTTACCACAGTACTTATATTATACATTGATGCTCTTGCATGCGATGCACTTGCCCTACTAACCCAGCTAAATTCGAACGGTGTAAATGTGATTTTTGGTCCTTTAAACGACTTTACTCTGGCCAATGCAGCAAGATTCAGTACTGCTATGTACAATGTCCCTATTGTGGCTCCAGCTGGTTTTGCACATCAACTGAGTGATAAACTTGAATACGGAATGCTCACACGTGTCTTATTTACCTATTCTGATTTGGAATGGGTTTTTGGTAATACTTTAAAACATTATGGATGGTTACCGAATCAGCAAACACCAATAGCAATATTCACAACTAGGAATGTCAGGCGACGAGAGGGAGTAGTTGGACATACTGGCTTGGCTGGTGTATTTCAACATTTAATACTACAGAAATTTTTAGTCAAAGCCGCATACAAGCTTTTATCCGTTACTTTAGATGACGAAATTGATGTGACAGACCGCTTTCTGAAACGTCTTCCTGACTCCGCCAGAAGTAAGTCTATTATCTGCAGTGTATTACGCTTCAGGTTTTGGTAAGAAATAACTTTACCTTCATGTTCAGCCTTACTAAGATGCTATATGCAAGGTCATATTACTCATTCGAGCTACAAATCAGTACCTATTGTTTATACCACTTATTGTTGCTGGTATCATATTATATTTTAATCGGATGTGGGATTCTTCAGTTGTAAAGGTTTTGTTGGCATATCAACAAGCTCACATCTGGTTGCATATTTGGTTCACTTATATACGTACTGACACTTGTCATGTTAATTACTTCTATGTTTTAAATGTACTTTATCTTTTAATGGATAGTCAGTGTTTTACAGTTGGACGAGATCACTTTCGATATGAACCAGCTTCTTTGTGTCATCAGTGCAACATTCTCTTCGTTTGCTTGAATACATTTTACGTTTTCTACAACTTGCTAAATAAAAATTATTTCTGAATCAGAGAAGTTAGAAAATCTCTCAAATGAAACCAGTGATATCTTCCGATTGACCGAAGGCGAACAGTATAGAATTCGTAACTTCACATTCACGTCTTTTCCGGTGATAGGGATATTGGATATGATCCAAACGAGAGGAGACATGTAGTTGTAATGTGATTTTGATATATTTGTTGCATCAACTCCAACTCCAAATCAAACTGATGGATAGTCACTTTAATATATCTTCACATATTTTCTGTTTTATCATAATGTTTTGGGATATCCCTCAGTGGCTCTATTGTGCAAAGATTTTGATATAAGCAAACAACTGGAATTAATTCAGCCATTCCATAGGGAACAATGCGTCCAGACATTTGAGCATGCATATTGTGTACTGTCATTGTATTTAAACCCATAGCATATTAGGACAGTCTCTAATACTCCCTATGTTGTCTGATTCAAAATCTGTGTCTTTTTCGAGAAATTAATCTTTTAATGTAGTTTGAAGTTTATGAGGACTTTATTTTTAAGTTTGTATTCATCACGGACTGACATCATTTGGGTTCCGACCCAAGTGACTGAATGATTAACGTATTCTCCATGAAACCTGAAGGTCCTGAGTTCGACTGTCTGGCGGGGTCATGAGTGCTCACTTCTGAGAAGTGCCATACTATGACGAAACAGGTGTCCGGTGTTCCCAAATTTTCATGGGTTCTCCAACTGATGTCAGTCCGTGATGAATGCAATCTTAAAAGTAGTCATTTACTTTAGGAACGTCACCAATTCAACAACAGATTTTCTATAATGCCTTTGGGTTTCATTTTTGGTCAAAAGCAGATTTTTGTCGTGTATACTAACTTTCTCAGGTCAACGATTTGTAGGATCTACCTCGTTACACGCCAATGATATTGTTTTTCTTCGTTCAATATGACTTAAGGTCAAAACAGAGTTGACATTAGAAAAAGACAGTTAAGGAAGGGCAAGGAGATTTTTATGAGGCGATAGTTAGATGTTAAGCATTGTATTGATTTAAGGAGGAATATAGGCATCCAACTAGTATGAAAGTTCTACAAACTAATCATCCAGGTGTTTAGTAACCAGAAAAAGTAGTTGATGTAAAAGCTCTCTTTGCATTAGTCAAAATTACACCGTTTTAAGAGGAAACCTCTCTCAACTAGAAGATAATATGATAAAAAACGTTATGAAGTTTGATTTCGATTTACTTCTGAAGATTTTTCTTGCAATCATTAAGTTCACCTCAGAATTTAACAGCTAAATATTAAGTGAGTTTGTTTAATGTATTGTCACCAAATACTGTTAGGTGAATTTGTTCGTTTTACTGACTGATATACTAATTAGGCCATACACCCGTATCAGAAAGTTTCTTTATCTAAAACTAGTATATTATGAACTAACTCATGGTATAATTATTGACTTCTTTATTGGCCAAGATTTCTCATGAGCAGATTTTTCAGTTTATAGATGGTTGTACTTTTGTGATGGATACCATTTTTTTAAAGGGATTTTGAACTCAAACAAAACTGATTTGTCCATGAAACCATCATTTTAAATATGATGAAGTTTCTAAAAATCAGTACCGTACATGATGGTAGAAATTCTGAATTCATTTATCTCAGATCGGATTATATTTTCAGAGGAAGAAAAATAGTTTTACAATATGTAAGTAGGTATGTATGTTTATGTTAAAACGTGAGCCTTATTCGCAAATACTTAAGTATTTTTATGAAATTATGAGTATACTAGCTTCATGTCATTTCCATATTATTCACAGAGAAAACTTCATGTGAATCTAAGAATCTTAGGCTATGCACGTCGTACATTTCTCTGTCTCTTGGTTTAAGGAGACAACCATAAACCAACGGGTCACGGGTTCGAAACCCCTCCACCTATGGAGGTTTAGGCAGCCAGTTAGTATCATTAGCCTTTACACAATAGGTGTGGCTCCTTGTTTACTGCATGAATACTCACAAGACTGCTAAGTACATTTCTCTTTTTTCTTTCTATATATCTGAAAGTTATAACTCCAAATAACCACTACTCGAAAAAAGTACTCTCAATACAAAATTAGATTATCACCTTTTGGTAGCAGTGATGACTCTTGTTCATATCCGATCCCATTGAAGTATTATAGTCAGAAAATATGTAACATAAATACTAGCTAACAACAAGTCTGATCACTTCTATCTTCCATTCACTAACCTGAAACTTATTATCTATGCTAAATGGAGTTCCACTCCACTGATGATAATAATCCCTACCTGCCTGGAAATCAGTGAAAACCACAGGGGGTTTGCCTTTAACTGACACAACTTTTGAATCTATTGTCTTCTACAGTGATAAACTGTATACAAACTGAATGGATACATTCATAATCCCTGTCGTCCGAATATTCTATCATTCAGTTACGGTTTAGTGCAATCTGTCTCTCACAAGTGAGAGGAAGAGTTACCAGTTTCTGATGTAGCGAGTGGATTAATAAGGTAGGCAGTACTAGAATTTTATGGCTGTCTATGCAGTACACAAAGGTAAGTTCTTTGAGATAATGAATTTCCTTGTCTAGAGGTTCTACGTGATGCTTGAAGTATTTTCATGCTTCCGTATTTTATTTGCTTCAACTGTTTTCCTTCAAAAGTAGTGATTCATCTGAACGGACTGTTTTACTGTTTCCGTCGTTTTATACATATTTTCCAGCAGTATTTTGATACTGTTCTATTACATATGCCTAGTCGCCGATTGCCTTGTCACGCAATATTGGCCGAAGTAGCTACAGGCTGGAAAAAGGCCCGAGGTGGCCAGACTAAAACATGGCACCAATGTATGAAGTGTTTGACCGTTGGTTTCAACCATGTAGGGCGATTCAGACTAACCGGTTGAGGTCCACCGGACAAGAGGAACCAGTGATTGGAGACTGACTCTAGGTGATCTGGCTGAGAACCGATGTCAGTGGCGCAGATGTATGCACACATTATCCTCATCTTAACGACGCTATACCGAATCTCACCATTTTCTCATTCTTCCTTTCTCTCTTTTAGTACTTTATATTTATTTTGACTGAATTTTCTTATCCTCATCTTGCAGTTCACTGCCTTTTTACTTGATGTATTGACATGAGGTGTGGCAACTCGGACCGTTACGCAGTAATCCATTGTCCTATGTTGATATTCATGATGATGATGATGAGGTGTGATAACTTTAATTGCTGCGCATGTTCATTGGTCGTTCACATGTCTCAGTATGATATTCACTTTATTTTGGGTACATTAAGAGATAGAGAGAGAATATTCATGATAATTTTATAATTTTCCTTGCTATAGGGTTAATAACTACATTAGTCGTCAAGGCGTAACAGCTGCATCAACGGCGAAGGTAACTAGTGCTACACTTCAAGAATCATCGTCACAATAAGGGCTAATTACATAGTTGAGTATTTTTTCATAGAATGCCTGAAAATGACAGCTTTTTAATAGGTAATTTGGTTTTCTATATACCGTTTCAGTTTTTGGAGATAAGGATAACAGAACAGACGACATATTAACTAATTATGACTTCTAGTACAACGAAGATCCAGTGTAAACGGAAAGTGCTCAAACAAAGTGTCGAGTATAATATTTGAAGCATCCTCATAGGAATTTCGGAATATTTCCCAAATGCTATGCGACTCGAAAAGCATAGATAGCTGATACTCTACGCTCGCGGCTTGTAATGATTCCTAAGTGCTTGTACTCAGAGATACTGGGTAGTGACATATCACTAACCATGTATTTATGTGGATCCTAGTGACCGATACGCATGACTGGACTCTTATTTGTGTTACCCTCCAGTGATCATCTACTGGATCATTCCATTTAAGGTTAGTAATTCCTCTTGTATTAGCCTGCCGTCGTCCCTGAATATAGTGTAGTGTCATTTACAAACGTAGAACACGAGGACTTCGCGTTTATTGGTAATTCTTTGACACAGAAGTACAAAAGCGTGTTTAAAATTGTACTTCCAATTACGTTGCACTTTACTAGTTTCTACCAGTATATAGTACGCCGTTAACCTTAACTTGGTTTTCTGTCACTAAAAAAATCCTTAATATAGACTCACTTTCTTGTAGATTTCAAAGGTCTTCAGCTCAGCTATAAATTCCAAGTGTAAAATCTTATCGAAGACCTTACTAAGGCCTGTGAATAGCACCCTGACAGTTAAGTTCATACCGTCGTATCCAGTTCACTCTTTTCCTGATATGAGACTTGTTAAAAAAACACCATCCAGTTTTAAAACTATATTTTTGCTCTTCTAGAAACTTATTCACTTCAATATCCTTTGGTTTGAAATTACTCCATGGATGATCTTTCTCAGGAACCTTGCATTTGTTAAAATAATCGGGTGACAGTTGGTTGTCAAATACATAAACCTTATTCTGTATACAGGGTTGATAATAGCATTGTTCCACTCTCCTGATAGCTTCGAATAATTCAGTGACGCAGTAAACAGTTGATAAAATACATGCCAACTATTAGGATCTCTAAGGTTTGTGTTACAGATTAACGGTTATA